TTGCTCAGGCTTCCTTCCTGTTCTTGCCTCTGTGGGATATTTTTAACCTCCTGCTTCAGAGGCATCCTGCACGTGCTCTTCCCTCACCTCTTCCTGCCTTGCTGCCCCTAGCAGCACAGGGCATGCTAACACATCTTGCAGCTGGTGTCTTCTGCTGCCTCCCACCCAGCATGGGTTGGGCTGAACTTTTCTAAAGACTTCAGATGCTTCTCTTCATCCAGGAGGGTGTTGTGCACCCCCCTCGTGTCCCCTGTCACTCACCCTGCTACCTCACTGCCTGTGACAGTCCTCTCCTGCCTCACCAGATAGAAAACCAAAGCACAAAGTGTTGTCTTCCCTAAGTAAAGCTGCCCCTGAGAATGACACCAGTCTGAGTCTTGCTGGGCTGAAGTCAGCTGGGTGCTGCTGATGGAAAACAGGCCTGTGAGGAACATCTCAGCCCCCAGCACTGCACAGTGCCAGGCCAGGAATAATGAAACCAAATTTGGCCTTAAGAATCGTTCCCCATCACCCAGCCCAGCTGAGCTCCAGCCTGGCTTAGGACATTTATTTCCTGCCTGCTTCCACCAGTGCTTTCTCCTCCTCTGTGTTTCAGGACAGAGGCATTTTCTGCTAGATCCACTCGGATGTAAACAGCACAAAGGAAGCAACAGGGAAACTCCTCCCTATCCCTTGCTCAAACCACTTCAGACGTGCTGCCAGCTTGCTGCAGGGAACAAATTATCACAAACTGGGGGAGCTGCCTTACCTGGAGAGGCTTCATCCCCAGCACCAGCCACTCTCAGGGAGCAGCTGCCCATTTGGATGCACCAACCATGCTGCACATTACAGCTGCTCCAGAGTGTGCTTATCTGGGGTTGCTTTGGGTCTCTGCGAGTCAGGTAGGCTGGTTGTCTGTTAAATAAGGAGAGAGGGTGAACACAGGGAGGAAATTGGGCAGTTTCCTGTTTGTTTATCAGGAACAAAAGCTTGTTTGGCTGGTCTGAACGTTGCTAGTGGGCTGGCCCAGCACTGAGCTCTTCCACTAGCAGGAAAAGGAGAAAGCAAAGTCTTGCAGGAATTAAAAAAAACCCAAACCAAAGCTCTGTGGAGGTCTGCACCCAAGGCAGAGCAGCAGGCAGGGAGATGTCACCCAGGCTTGTAGGACTCTGATGTGTGAAGGTGGCACCCAACTCAAGTTTGGCCCAGGTGGGAGATGTGTCCTGGCTTCAGTCCCCCTCGTCCAGCACCCTTCAGCCACCCCAGCAGGTCTCACACGGCCCATTTCGAGCAGAATTTTACCCAAACCCTGGTCCCTGTCGTTTACTTTTGGGGCTGTACTCAGGGAAACACGAGTGACGAGTGTGCTGCTGTTCCTCTGAGGCCACAAAGCTCCAGGGCTGCAGATCAAACATCTGCCAAGCCGCTGGAGCCAACACTGGGCTCCCCTGCACGGATTCCTGCCTGCCCGAGTTGTGCCCCGAGTTGTCCTTTCCCTTCCTCACCTGCAGACCGTGTTGTTCTGTTTGCCCTCCTCCACATCCACCCCTCGGGTCCCCTGCCCAGGACAGGGTGACCTCCCTGCTGAGGGACACCCTTTGTGTCCCCTTGGTTCCCCTCCCCGTGCAGGGAGCAGGCTTCCTGCTGCCATCTGGTGGGGGAGCAGCCTGGGTGCTGCTCAGCCTGCCTTCCTCTCACCTCCTGCGAGAGGAGACCTCTTACAGAGAGTCCTTCCTGACCTTCTGCAGGCTCTCAACAAACCCACACCTCCACCACCCACCCGCAAAGCGCCCACAGTGGGCTCTGGTGCCCAAAATCACAACTGGCTGGAAAATGGAAGGATGCAGGAGGCTGTGGGGTGACACTGGTGTGATTCAGCTCTGAGGAGGCAGAGCCTGACACAAGGGTGTTTAATTCCTCCAAGTGGAAGGTCTGGGGCACAGTCTCTCAGGAGGCTGTGGGGTGACACTGGTGTGACTCAGCTCTGAGGAGGCAGAGCCTGGCAGAGGGGTGTTTAATGCTGATCAGACACCCAAGTGGAGGTCTGGGGCACAGTCTGAGTAAATTTTGGGGCCATTTTAGCTGGGTTGCTTAAGGAATTGCTTTCTCCAGCCCAGTAACAGAGCCCACCTTGCTGGAGAGGCACTGGTTTTATCCAGTCACGCTGTCTTTCCAGAGAAAAGTCACTTCAAATTAATTTGATGGGAGATTAGCAGCTGTCAAACACTAAATTCAGAGTGTTTTGTGCAAATCAGTGGCAAAAATGAATTAAAACTGACCACGGAAAGCATCCCCCTCCCCAAAACAAAAGGTTTTGGTAGAGCTGCACGAGCTGGAGGCAGCTGAAGAGGTCGTGTAGCCAAAGTTTCATCACCTCCCTCCAAGAGGCATCACCCAGCTGCCTCCTGCCTGTGATCACAGCTCACCCAAACGACATGGCACATGGTGGCCAGGGAGTTCCATGTCACAGGTGGTGGCTGCTCCTCCAGGTGTGGTCACAAGCCAGCCCATCTTGCTCTAAGGACGAGGTGAAGGAGGAGATGTGCCATTTCTGGAGCATCTCCCACCCCTGGGTACTCGTGAGCCCTTGCAGTGGCTCTGCCTGGGGCTGGGAGCCACCCCTTGGGCCAGCAGAGCAGCAGGTGACAGGCACAGGACGTGGGGCTGATCCAGCAGGTCACGCAGGCTCTGGGAGGGCAGAGCAGGATCTGCACAACCAAACCTCCCTGGCCCACTAACAGCTCCCCAACGCTGCTGGGGAAGGGCTGAGAGTGGGGATCAGCCTCCAGCTCGCCCTAGTCCAGCCTTGGCCAGGCATGCCAGGCCTTGGCTGTGCAATCCCCACTTGCTGCTCTGTTTCCTTACACCAAGGAGTCTGCCAGGCAGTGCTCCATCCCTGCTGCACGGCTCCTGGAGCAGCACCCACCAGCAAGCAGAAGGCTGGTTCCTCACCCAGTACCCCTGTGCAGCCCCCACTAAACCCATTCCTGATTTTAGGGTCACCATTCCCATCTGGAACCAGACAGCTCCACATGGTCTACAGGGCTGAAGAGCAGCTATAAACACAATAGAAACAAGGGGTTCAAGAGCAGCTTTGAAGTCTGTGAGTTCATGGCAGCTTTAGGCATGAAGTGAGGCAGAACGAGGGTAAAGGAGCAGTTACCAGCCAGGGAATGTTTGTAAAAAGAATTACACCCAAAAGCAGAAGAAACGGTGATTAATCAGACCCAGGGGCCACCCTGAGGGCCTCGGGTGCCTCCTCCAGAGAGCCTCACAGCAAAAGCAGCAGGAAACCCTCCACACTCCCCTGGAAATGCAGAGCTGGAGGGAGGTTGTGCAGAGCTGCAGAAGCTGAGGAGGGATTTCAGACACAGCATTTTCAGCCTGACACCTGGTGCACAAAACTGACAGAGAGAAAGGCAGGAAACACTAAAGGGGCTTTAAAAGGAGCCCAGGGAGAAAAGTGGAAGCTTCCTTCAAAGCATCTAAAGCAGTAAACCAGAATAAAGAACAAGAGCACTGGAGGGAGAAGAGGCCTGGAAGTTATTTGGGAGTTATGGACCCGACTGCTCAGCTGCTTAAAATATTTTGCAAGCTCAGGCACCTCATCCCTGCAGGAGTGTCAGAAAAGGCAGGTGAGCCTCTCCACGTGGCCAGAGGTGAGGGCAACGGCCCGAGGAGGCTGGAGGAGGATGAAATGATCCTGCCATTCCAGCAGCTTTCCCAAGGGCTCAGCCTCCTCAGGGGAGCCAGGACACCCACCTGAGACCGCAGACAGCAGGGAGGTGGTTTGCTGTAGGCTGTAGCTGGTACCATGCACCCGTTTTCTCTCCAGCTGCAGTGTTGTGTCAAGAGCACCCTGGAAAACGTACGTACGTGCATCAGCAGCAGCCTGAACTGTGCATGGGAAGCAGTTCAAAGCCCTTTCAATAACCCCAGGACACTCTCAGCCTTACCTTGTGGCAGGAATTCAGCCCAAGAATCACATTTCAAGCTTTAAGTTGTCAGGAGCAAGACCTGTTTGCCTGGGCTAAGTGAATATAATTCAGGTAAATCTAGCACAAGCACGAGGTGTCTTGCTCCACTGACCCGACCATTGTTCTGAGGTATGAAAAAAAAGACACCACCCCACACTACTACACTTGGGTCTGTGACATTTATTGAAGTTACACAATCTCAAAGCCATCACATCCTCCTCACAATTCAGGTTCTGTCAATAATAAAAGCATTGATCTAACAGAGAATTCTGCCCACCTCTGACTGCCTGAGCCACGGAGCACCCAGTCATCCCTTCTTTGTGCTGTCTGCCATGGGCCAACTGCCACTTTCATGGGCTTTGGTGGAAGCAGCAAGGCTGCACAACAGGGCAAGTGGCAGCAAACAGATCAGTGCACAGCAGTGGGGGGAGAAGCAGAGCTGTTCTGTTGCTGGGATGTACACAAGAAGCCTTTCCTGCAGAGGAAATGTCTTCTCCTCCCTGCCTGAAATCCACCTACTAAATCAGAGTGATGTAGTGGGTGCTGTTCTCTGCTATTCTCCCCCCCAGGCACAATCCACTCGAGCTGTGCCTCCAGCTGTCAGCACAGAGCTGCTGTCCTACCTGCTGAAGTGTCTCTTGCTCAGAGTTTACCTCTGAAATAAAAGCCAGGCTTGCCTGAAAAGCGAGCCCTGGGCGTCCCTGTGCCACAGTCCAGGACCTGCAGGTCTGTAACGACCCTGGCTCAGCCAGCCTGAAGGCACTGACTGTGAAACCTGATTGATACAGACTCCTGTGGACAGGGAGTCACCCCAGCGACCCCTTCGTCCCGGGAGCCAACGGATGAAAACTCTGCTCCTGTTGCTCAAACTGCCTGGGAAAGGGGCAATTCTCAACCCGAGCTCAGGGGTCAAACTGCCTGGGAAAGGGGCAATTCTCAACCCGAGCTGAGTGGTCACTGGGGCCACTGCTCTGCCCAGAGGTGGGAGGAATGCAGCTTTGTTGTCACGAGCGTTCCGTTCGGTCGGATTAATTCACAAAACGGGTCGAATTTTCAAATTTCCTCTCCTTTTACTAACGAGGAAATCGCACGGATTCTTTTGGAAAGGGCTGATCTGATAGGTGGAGGTGATGGGGCTGGCTACGGCCTCAGAGCCAGGGTCACTGGGGGAGCTGGAGGAGCACAGACTGTCCGGAGGGCAGGTAGGTGATGTTGCGGGAGCGGGAGAGCTGGTAGGCGATGTCCTCGGCGGCCTCCAGCTTCCGCAGCTCGATCAGCCCGTCGCCCGCCGTGGCCAGCGAGTTGGCAATCAGCTCTGCAGCTTTGGAGTCTCCTTCAGCAGAGATGACAGCTGCCTTCTTCTGCTGCTCAGCCTGCCAGCAAACAGAGGAGAAGAATGAGACCGAGAGAACCCCAGAGCCCGAGAGAACCCCAGAGCCCGAGAGCACCCCAGAGAAGGATGACACTTGTGACATTTAAAACCTAAATTTCTCCTTCACCACCCTTCTTGTCCTGTTCCCCAGTAAGACAGCAGAGATAGGTGATTGTATTTGAAAGCTGCCCTCTTATGTTTCTGCTCTGCCTGGGGCAAAAAGGATGAAAAATCATCTGGAAACGGCCTTATCGGTCTTAACCTGAGGAAACATTAACCCACCTAATGGCACTGCTGGTGGAAAATTGTCTATGAAATGTTTGAGAACTTCAGGGGAGTTAAAACCAGGTCAGACAAACACTTGTACTGTTGAATCACCCTGGCTGATGACAAGCACCCCACTGCAACCCCTGGATTAACTTCGGGTGTAGCTGCAGGTTCTTCTCACAGTGCTCTCAGCTGTTAGCGGGGTTCTTAACCATGAAATTGTTCCTGTGGGTGCTCACTGAGGGCTGATCTGAGACTGTGTGGTCAGAAACTCCTAGGACTGAGATCCCTGTGCCTATGGGATCAACCACCATGGAAAGCTTCAGCCATCCTCCCAAAATTCAGACAGCAGGATCACTGGGGTTTCAAATCCCTGAACCCTGTTTCTAACTGCTGCTCCCTCCCAAGTGCTGTTTCCTCCCTCCCCCACACACACATTCCTGTTCAGCACTCCAGTAAGACCATGAAATGGCACTGAAAGGAGAAAAAAAGACCCCAAAACCCAACAAAACCAACCTAAGGCTTTCTCCAGTCAATAATCAAGTGCCAGAGCTGAGAATCTTATCAGCACTACAACCCCAAGTGACTTTGTCATTCAACCTGCCCGGTCTCCTGGCCAGCTGAATGAGATGTTCACTGCAAGCTAGAGTGGGAAAGGAGACACCAGGAGCATTTCCAAGCTCCTCAGAAGGACAAGGTACCTTTTCCACAATGAATCTGGCTCTCTCTGCTTCTTGCTGGGCCACTTGCTTCATTTCCACCGCCTCTGTGAACTCCTTGCCAAAGGTCAGATGGGTCTGCAGAGCAAAAACCAAGCAAAGTCCACACTGCTGCCACCCACACTGCTCCCAGCACAAGCTCATGGGGAGGTGAGAGGGAAGAACTCCCTCCCTGAAGAGTTTTAGGGGACTAGAGAAGAATAATCCCTCACAGAAAAAAGATACTGTGAGAAATGGGTATTTCATTTCCACTGCTGGCTCCTGCCTCAGGCTTTCTCCCCACCTCGGGGTGCTTGTCTAGAGCAACATGCAGCCTGACCCATCACCCACAGCAGCATTTGCTCTTCATGGGAGCTAGAAAAGCCCCACAACAGAGAACTCTGTTGATAAGCCAGCACAGCAGAGCCTTCAAGGGCTCGCTCAAGGTCACAGGCCCCTGATAAACCCTGAGGTACTGGCTTCAGCAGCAACTGCTACAAACCACACAACTGCAGACAGACAAACACAGGCCACACGTCCAAAACCCCAGCCCACGCTTCTCTAGCCATCCACAGAGTGTGGTCTCTTATTTGGGCAGAATCCAGAGAGAAAAAAACAAAGAAGACCTCTTACCAAGGACACATCATCCAGAATGAGCCCAAAGGTTGCTGCTCTCTCTGTGAGGTCTTCACTCACTTGCCTCGAGACCAGTTCTCTCTGAGTGATCAACTCACCAGCATCAAAACGAGCCTGAAATCAGGATGGGCAACAGTGAGAAGAAAGCTCCCCAAAAAAAGTGACAGATTCTCCATGCCCTGCCTGGCTCTGCACCCATGAGCCCCAGAGCTAATCCACTTCTTCTCTGAGCTGAGCTCTTAGCAGGACTATAGTTGGTTAGTGATTATTTGGCAGTCCCCCTGGGGATACTTCCAAAACCAGAGGTCTGCAGTGAGCTGAAATCTAAGATTAGATGAGAAGTGAGAATCCCAATCTCCTCCTGACTGCAACTCCCAGGCTGGGGAGCAGAGCTGACTGCTGAGAGAGGGTCACAAAGAAAACCTCTTTCCATCCAGAGACCATCCAACGAGAACCAAGTCGGGCCAAGCAGTCAGAATGATGGAGAAACAATTAGTGTAGCTACAATTAGCTTTTCTGGATGGCCAGAGAGAGCCTGGGGGGTGGAAAGAGAAGCTGTATTCTGGAACACGACAGATTCCAGAGAGGAGAAGGAGATGATGGTGGAGCCCAGCAGCTCTCACCCTGTCCTTACCACTACAGACTTGAGGATTTCTGTTGTGATGGAGGGCAGGACACGCTCGTCATAGTCCTCCCCAATACTGGTGAAGATCCGTGGTAACTGGGCAGTCACTGGTCTGAAGAGGATACGCAGCGTGATGTTCACGTTCTGCAGGTCTGCAGGGAGAGCCACCAGATTAATGGCAAACCACAGGCACAGAGCTCCTGAAGCTGCCCTCTCCAGGCCAACCAAACCACTAACAACAGACATTCATGGTTCTTCCAGCCCCTTCACCTCGGGGTCCAAACCCTCCCGACAGATAAAGCTTCAGTTTAGTTGGGATGTGGGGAATTACTTGCCCCACTGTAAAGGCAGAGATGCTATGGGATGACTTACAGGCTGAAAGAAAGGTCCTTTAATCTGTTCTCTAACTAAAAAGCCAGACAGAATCATTCTGATTGGAAGAGACCTTCAAGAACATCTTGATTAGATGGATCCTCAAGTCCAGCCATTAAGTGGTCAAACCCCTCCTGACCCTGTTCCAAACTGGACCTGGGACACGTGGGATCTCCACATCCACAGAGAGAATCATCAGAGCGCGTGGCTCTCTCTCAGCTGCTGGCTCCAGCCACTCACCTTTGCTGCCAGTGATGACGGGAATGTTTCGGGGGCGAGAGCGGCAGTCGAAGATGATGGGTTTCTGCACCCAGGGGATGAGGAAGTGGGTTCCTTCTCCTACCACCGTGTCCTGGACCCCCCGGAACCGGTCAAAGATCACAGCTCTGTGGCCTGCATCAACTAGAGAAGACAACATCAGGCACCGTGTCACTGCTGCCAGCTGTACCCTCAAAGCCTTCTCCATGGAATTGCTCTACCAGGCTTAGGCAAGGCCTTTTGCTACAGGAAATGGGTGAAAGGAATGAGACTGTTTGGAGCAAAAAAGGCAAAGAGAGGATGCAGCTGTGGCTCCAGGCTCCCAGTGTGCTCAGGAGGGCAGCAGGTAACTGGCAGCTCTCTAAGGGACCTGGCAATCCTCTTGCTTGCAAGACACACGGGGTATAAAACAGCCCAGCAAGGCTCCACATCTATCTTCCCCCGATGCCATCAGCAATAAACGCACAGAGCAGCCAAGATACCGACAGAAAATCCCCATCTAAAGTGACCTGGCAGAGCTCAGCTTCTCCCACTCACCATTGTAGAGAGCGGAATTGACAACTCCACCTGCGACAGCCAAGCCCAGGCCAAGCTTCCCAAGGCTTTCAAACACCTTCGCAGCCATTTCACACGTCCAGCCCCTTTAAAAAATCCCTCCTGCA